CCTGCTGCTCATATTTGTTCCCCAAACTTGCAGGTCCGCTTTGCAGATCCTCCATAAAGCCTGTGAGGTTGCAAGGAGGTACAACTACTTCCCAGGCGGGATGGCCTTGGTCTGGGCCACGTACTACGAGAGCTGCATCAGCTCCGACCAGAGCTGCATCAACGAGTGGAACGCCATGCAGGACCTGGAGTCCACCCGCCCCGACTCTCCAGCCCTCTTTGTGGACAAGTCAGTTTTTATTTTATTAGAAATGTAATTGTAAATGTCTTCAAATGTTTACCTTCCATCACTCTCATAAAAATTGCTTTTAATACAAGTCCTTACCCACCTCTGCACGGTCTGAGTTGCGCCATACGCTTGCTGCCAGCCTGGAGACATCCTCTCCTTCTGCTTTTCAGGCCAACTGAAAGGGAGCGAACAGAGCGACTCATTAAAGCCAAACTCCGGAGCATTATGATGAGCAAAGACCTGGAAAATGTGACTTCTAAGGAGGTAAATATAAAAATTCCTGCTCTCTTTTTCTTCCTGCTAGACACCCTTTCCAGACAGCGCTGCACTGATGAAGAGCCACCATATGATGAGGTGTCACTGGCTTTCGAGTGTATTTCCAACTGTTCTGCAAAGGCTCTGCTCTTTGGCTTCTCTCTGTTTCCCCAGGAGGGAAATTGGGGTAGGAGCATCACCAGAGTGCATTTTTCAAGACCTTAGTAACAAGTATGTGACTGGTTCTTTGTGGCATCAGAGGTGGTGCCTGCGTTGCAGTTGGTTGTAGCACATGGGGGCACGTCCAAGCTGTGCATTTGCAGCCTCTCAGTGCATCCCTGTGAATTAGGCAAGCAGAGGCAGCGCTCCCAAAAGATGCAGTTGGTGGCCTCAGGCCTCTGTTGGACGAGTGTCCTGATCTTCACTTGCTCACGGACAGCGCAAAGTCCACGCCTTCCTTTCTCTTACCGGCTTCATTTTAAGGTTGTGTTTGCTTTGTTCCTGAACAAATGTCAGAGGGGCTCACAGACAGCGTTTTGCTAGTGAATTTATGGATGGAAAATCACAAGTCAAGGCTCACGCTAGCTCGGATCCATCCCACAGGCTGCTGTAAACACGTCCAGCCGCAATGCAGACGTGTTCAGAGAAAATGGAAACGGCTCTTTTGGGGTTGAGTTCTTGTTTGGTGTTCAAGGGAGGCAGTTAACATGCAGGGCTTTCCTTCCCAAATCTTAGCGCCGAAGGGTTCAGATACGCTCTTGTGTAGCAGCAGCGTTACAAGTCGTAGGCGTCAGCGAAGAGCTCGTCTGCCTGCGTACGTGTTCTTGACTCTTGGTGCAGTCAAGATGCTTTAATTCTGCTGCAACTGCGTTTCGTGGTGAGTTAAAGTAAGTTGTGCTGCTGCCGTTACTCGCTCCTTGCTTCTAATGGGTTTCTTGTTCATCAGCTGCTCTCCGAGCTCTTGTTTCCTGTCTCTTGAATTATCTTTAAGCAGCAGGTACCCCAAAGCATGTTTTTGTACTTGGATATTATCTGAAGCTTTATGTACAGACCTTAAATCTGGGGGCCTGGGATTCTTGGAGAGATGCCGCGTAGTGAGGTTCCTTGTCTCCAAAAGGCCGAATCCCTCTTGCTGTTTCTAATGAAGTGCAGGGAAAGTGTTTTGCAGAGGGGTGCCAGCAAATGTTTCCATTGAACAGACACGATTCGAGGTGGCATCCTTTGTTTTCTGCTCTGCAGATCCGAAATGAGCTGGAGAAACACATGAATTGCAACTTGAAGGAATTCAAGGAATTCATAGACAACGAAATGCTGCTTATCCTGGGTCAGATGGACAAACCGTCTCTGATTTTTGATCATTTATATCTGGTAAGCTGCCGTGTTAGGAGCTCCAGAGCAGCAGGAGGCTCAGTGGGAGTGATCTGACGCGTCGGTGGGCTCAGGGGAAGCTGGATTTGGTGCCCGGGCTGACTCCTGCGTGCGGTACCGCCCGCTGTCTTTGTGCAGAGTTCCTCCAGGACACACAGTGCTTCTAAAAGTGTTTTTCTCCCCGACGTTGCAAAGGCACGGCCAGGAGATGTAAAGAGCAGGGCAGGAGGTGAGGGGCTGTTCCAGCTTGTGCAGAAGCGAGGGATGGTGCGTGCTTGCTCTGAGCTCCTGCCACTAGATGGTACTCCAAGCAAAACCAGGCACTGCCATCTGGAACAAAGACTGGTGGAGATGACCGCGGTTGTGCCCCTTATGCTTGGGTCTTATTTTAATATTTCTGGAGAGTGCTCATGTTTGAGGGCAAAACTTGCTTTTCAAATCCCTTTTAGCTTTCTGTTTTGCAAGTATGGGGAGGAAAATTCAAGGTGTAACCACCCCCATAACTTTCAGGTTTTGCCTTGCTTTTTGTATCCCTGTAATCTCAGTCATACCACACGTTGTCATTTTGATTCCCTGCACTATTTCTCTCTATGGTTAAAAATCCAGAGTGGCCGAGGCAGTGATTTGGGATGCGCTGTGTCGTGTGCTGGCCTAGAACTGACTCCTTAGGTGAGGGTGAAATGCCCTTGTCCCCTCTTTAGGAGGTCAGGACAGGCCATCCCCATGCTGAGCCGCAGCGCTGGCTGCCCTGGTGCCATATTCCTGTTTCAGAGGCCATTACCAATATTTTGGCAAGGCTGGGGATATTGCAGAGCCTCAGGAGAGAGGGGAGGTCTCGCGCTCCTTTGACATTTGTGTTCTGTGGCTGTTGCAGGGGTCTGAGTGGAACGCCTCCAACCTCGAGGAGCTGCAGGGCTCAGGGTGAGTACTGCACCTTGCAGTCACCATCATTAGACTCCGAAACCTCCAGTCATTTACACTCGGGTCTCTTGAGACGACATAGGATGTTTGTAGACCGCAGGGATGAGTTTGGGCCCGTTCCCAGCATTGTGTGTAACTTACCATCAGGTTGAGAAATCTTTCCTACCTCATTTCTCCATCTAGAGCAGAAATAACAAAACTTCTCAGTTGTGAAGCACATCAAGATCTCCAAAAGCCCCCAAATGCGTCGCAGCCGAGCGTGAAATGGCCACGCACGGTGTTGTGTCAGGTGTGAATTCCTGCAGGCTGCAGAAGAGCCAACGTTACGGCGCTCAGCTTAGGAAAATAAAACCCCTATCTCAATGGAGCAGAACTTCCTGAGGATGAGCAATCCCCACCTCACCTGGCCAGGCAGGCAGCTGCAGGGCTGGCTTTCTCCACGCTCTCGTCACCGCGCCGCTGCTTGCCTTGGTTCACTTTCACGCTTTTTGGACAAGTGAGGATTTTGCATATAAATATTTGCTGCTTGCCCAAGGCGTGCGTGAACCCTGATGCGAGAAACTGAAAACCGTTGCTCAGCAGCATGACTGAAAATGTTGAATTTGGAGTCCTTGGGAACAGATGTCTGAACATCTTTGAACAAGTGAACCAACCGGCACCTTCATACTTTTGATCTATGGGGAAGGCATCTTGACGTGCAGCGTCTAAAAGTCAAATCTGGACCAATTCTGAAGCAAATATCCTGTGTCCTTGATTTGTCTGAATGGTAGGAGGTAACAAATCAATACGGGCATTTGTTCTCCCCGGGTACATTGTAATCCCTACTGTAATATTTGGCAAGAATCAAGGGAGAGACTTGACCACATGAATCTCATATTTCTGGTCAGAAAGAAAAGGATGGTTTTGCAGTAAAGCCTGCAGCTGAAAGTTGTGATTGCTGGGGTCTGTTCCCAGTGAATTGCTCTCAGCCGCTGCGCTTTTCTTCTTCCAGCGCCCCAGAAGCTGTGTGGCACATGGGGAGGGGTGTCTGATGGGGGTGCAAAGCCTCCATGTATGGGGTAAAATCTCCCGTGCCCGAGGTCTGATGCTCTGTATGGGTTACGAGATGGGTGGATGGAGAGGCCCTGTGTGTCACACGTGTGACCGGTGTCACCGGGTGGCCCAGGGGTTCGGCATTAGGGCCGTAGATAAAATCTCACTGTTTGCGTTGTCAGATTTCATGGACTTCACCGTGTGTGCCAGTTCCCTTTCATGACCGTGGCGGCTCATCACAGAATCACAGAACGTTAGGGATTGGAAGGGGCCTCAAAAGATCATCCAGTCCATTCCCCCTGCCGGAGCAGGAACACCTCATCTTTGTTTCTCTGTTCGTTCTCCGCAGCATTGACTACATTTTGAACGTGACCAGAGAAATTGATAACTTTTTCCCCGGTTTGTTCGCGTATCACAACATCCGGGTGTACGACGAGGAGACCACGGACCTGCTGGCTCACTGGAACGAGGCGTACCACTTCATAAACAAGGCCAAGTGAGTGGGCTGGGAGGTGTGACCCGGTGTGAGCCACAGGGCAGACTCTGCTGGGTGCTCACGCTCCCCTTGTCCCTGCTTATCCAAAGGCAGGAGGCTTCATGGTGGTCTCTTAAATGGCAGCGTGACTGGGGCTGCCCCTCTCTAACTCCCAGCTTTTCTGGGGAGAGATTCTCCTCGTGGCCCACTTGATCTGAAATGTTTCTCGCCTACTGAGCTGTGGGAGGACAAAGTACCGTCCCTCCGCTGTGCCAAACGGTAACGACAGATCCCATCACCAAAATGATGCAGTATTTGTGTTCTCCTGTTTGCCTGCAGGAAGAATCACTCCAAGTGCCTGGTGCACTGCAAAATGGGTGTGAGCCGGTCAGCGTCCACGGTGATCGCGTACGCGATGAAGGAATTTGGCTGGTCGCTGGAAAAGGCTTATAATTACGTGAAACAGAAACGCAGCATTGCCAGACCGAACGCGGGCTTCATGAGACAGCTTTTGGAGTACGAAGGCATTTTAGATGCGAGGTAAGGTGACGGGCTGGATGGGAAGGAAATAAAGGAGCTAATTTAGGCAACCTCACGTGTTTATTGCAAAATATGAATCGATCTCCGTGGAGTTCTGTTCAGGCAATGAGTTCCTCTGCTGATGTCTCACACGTGTGTTGTGCTCGGAGATGCTGGCAGAGCGGTGCTGTAATCTGAAGGGCAGACGCAGAAGCTTGGGCTAATTGTGTTTTTTCCAAACCTTTTCCATGCCAGGCCTCCCTGGATGGATATGAGCTGTCTTCTAGAGAGATCGGCTCTGGTTTAATTCGGGGAGGGTTTCTCTGTGCCGGGGAAGCCTGTTCGTGTTTCTCGGCAGCCAGTGCTGTTCAGCAAAACATTGTTCTTGTTTTATGAGGCAGAACCGAGCTCGGGCAGTGTTGGAGGGAAATCATCTGCAGCTCGGGGTGACCATGCCAATCACAAGCCTTTGTCACCACGAGCGCTGCGGTATCTGACGGGTTTCTGTGTGCTCTGCCTGGTCTATGCTCTGCTGGGGGCAGAGGAGGAGCGTTTTTCACTCAGGTTGAGCAAGAGCTGTGCCACCAGACGTGCAGAGATGGTGGTTCAGTGTTTGGCCCTGACCGGAGGCTCTGTGTCCCTCTGCCCTGAGGGTCTCCTCCCGAGGGCTGTCCCCATCATGGGAGCGGTGCAGGGCAGTGCTGAGGGTCTGCAGGGCAGGCAGGAGGGACAAAACCCTGATGCTAGAGATGGTTTTGTCCAAGTGGGACTGCAGGGCTCAGCCTTTTGGTTCTGGGTTGTGGAGCGGGATGAATGTTCCTGAAACTGAGCATCCTACAGCTCAACGGTATTCACTTGTGTCCTTGTCCTTCCCCTAGCAAGCAGCGCCACAATAAACTGTGGAAGCAGCAGGCAGAGAGCAACCTACCCCAAAACACGGATGGCACCGCGGGGTCGGGCGACTTCTTACTGGAGAGCTTGGACATCGACCTGGAGAACCGCCTGGCTGACCTGGACGCGCCTTCGCACTCGGCCTTCCTGGACAACCGCGCCGGCAGCGGCGTGTCCGTGGGCTTCAATTACTGCTTCCGCCGCCTCTCGGACGCGCTGCTGGAGAACAAGATCCCCGCTGACAGGGAGGGCTTTTTCCACGTGGAGGAGCTGGAGCGGGACGCACTGGCAGAGCGCAGGGCCTCGCTGGGGGGACGGCCCCCGTCCACGCCTTCCGAGATGGCGAAATCCCTGGAGCCGGCGGAGCCGCTGGCGGAGCTGAGCAGTTTCAGCGAGAAGGAGGTGAAGAAGAAACTGGAGTTCAGCCCCAGGAAGGGGAGGACGGTGCTGGGCCCCAGGGACCCCGGGGAGGACGGTGTCAGGGAGGAGAACGCGATGGAGAAGTGGAAGCGGCGTTTGTCCATGCACAAGGAGGAGAGCAGGCTCAATAGGGAGAACTTGAACAACAACAACAGCAAAAGGAGTTGCCCAGAGGATTTTGAGGTGCGTATAGAGTTGAAATGTAGGTGATTAGCATGGCTGACTCTACTGCAAGTGAAACTGCTCTTCTCATCTTCGTAGCACAGTTTCATTTGACTTGGATAAAGCCTTTCATTCCATGATGAGCTGCTTCCTTTTCGAAGTGCTTCTGAACATGGCTTTGCTTGCCCGAGCTATGGATTTAGATGTCCAGAGAGAGTGCACGCACATGTGAGCACCCTGTAAACTGCTCTGGGCAACTTGCGTGCATGCCCATCGCTTGAGCCGGTAGGTATCCTTCCCTTGAAGCTTCTGTCTGCTGACAAAGCGCGTGGCTTTGGTTCCTGCTGCAGGGCCTTGAGAAGTGGAAACGGGCTTCATTTCAAACCTGCTTGGCTGTAAATGTGTCCTGTGGTCTGTGCCTCTCTCTGCTGACTGCCCGTGTCCCGTTCTGCTCGTATTTATCTGTACCCGTTTTCTTTTTTGCAGCACGACGCTGTGTTTGGGATCCTCAGCAAGGTCAAGCCTCCCTACCAGGCTTGCGCTGACTGCATGTACTCCTCGGCCGGTTTGGCTCCCGAATCCTTCGGGGAGCAGTGCGAGAAGCTGAACGCCAGCGCTGCGCATCGCAACACCACCATCTGCACGCAGCCAGCCCTCCTCTCCCACATCAAATCCAACCTGGCAGACCACCTGCCCAGCAAGGCGCACTCGGAGGAGGCAATCAATCCCTTTCCTCTGTCGGCAGGAGCTGGTGCTTTGGAGGCTGGCGCTTGCAAATCGTTTGATGAACACTGCAGCATTTTGGAGAAAGGAAGAGATGCATCAAAAACCCCGGTCAAAACCCTGCTGCCCAGGAGAAACTCGCACTGTGACAGGAGCCTCCTTCACGCAGAAGTGGTAAAGGAAGAGTCTCTAGCCCGAAAAGATGGCAAACCCACCAAGGACGTGAAGTACTTGTTGTTCAGCAAAGACTTGGAAAAGCCGAGTGCCAGCAGTTACTTGATGCAGCACCAGGAGTCTCTGATTCAGCTGCAGAAGGCAGGCTTGGTGAGGAAGCACACCAAAGAGCTGGAGCGGCTCAAAAGCCTCCCCCCAGACGCCGTCTCGCTGCTCAGGGAGAGTCCCCTGAGCAGAGCGGACGCCGACATTGTGGAGGAAAGCGAGGATTTGATTTCGCAGCACGGCCTCGTGCCTCTCCTGGGACCGGTGCCGCTGATACCGGCAGACGCAGGAAACGCCGTGGAGAAGCTGGAGGTGAAACGCATCTTGGAGGGGTCCTCTCAGAAAACCTCCACGCCGCTCATGTGTCGGGTGGAGCACACCAGCAGCTTCACCAAGGACTTCCTCAAGACCATCTGCTACACGCCCTCCTCGTCCCGCAGCTCCAACCTGACACGCAGCTCCAGCAGCGACAGCATCCACAGCGTGCGGGGCAAACCCGGCCTGGTGAAGCAGCGGACTCAGGAAATCGAGACCAGGCTGCGCCTGGCGGGCTTGACCGTGTCCTCTCCTCTGAAAAGGTCCAATTCCCTCGCCAAGCTGGGCTGTCTCGACCTGTCCTCCGAGGACCTGTCCAGCGACATGGACGTGTCAACCGTCGCGGACTCCAAAGAGGCCGTTTCAAGCGACTCTTCCGTGCTCTGTGAGCCACAACCCGCGCTGAGGAGTGCGGACGTCGCCTCCAAGCTGGCAGGGAAGCCAGCGGTCGGGAACTTGAAGAACACGCCTTGGATGGGCAAAAGTTGATGCCTTCTGTATGGGGGTGGATTTTGGGGGTTTTTACGGCATTTATTCATTGCACCGGTGCAGTTTTCTCATCTGCCTTGCAGTGGTTCGTCCGATGCCGCCTCTTCTTCCCCTCCTTGTACCCAGAGCGGGGAGAAAAAAATGAATACTGGGTCATGATGAATGGCACAAGGGAAAATAAAATGTATTGCATGGCTTAGAAGAGGACTTTGTGTGTGAATTGCCTGTTGTCCTGCAGGATGCTATTTCTAGTACTGTTTGCCAAGTATAATAACGTGTTTCTGTGTGCGTGTATATAGATAGATATTTGTATCTACTTATCTATCTATATATGTAAAATGCTGAAATATCCTGTTTCAAAGACTCAACAAAATAATTAGTCATGACTTTTTTTAATTATTATTATTATTTTTACAGAACAAACACAAGTCTCTGGTTAAAACAGGGCGCTTGTGGAAAAAAATCCTTAAAATGGTGACATGAGCACTACCTCTGTTCTTGCTGACTCGGAGTCTTGGGTTGCTGTTTGGGTTTGTTGTTTTTTTTTTTAAAAAAAAAGGCTTTTCCCACAATATTTACGCTGTTTGAATATGGAGACAGAGGCTTTTTGGCACCAGGTGTCCTAGCTGTGAGGTGCAGGAGTGTGGTGTTGTGTTGGTGTTGGCGGTGTGACCCGGTGTCCGTCCGTGGGTGAATTGTCTGTCCCGTGTTGGTGTTGGAGCAACACCCGGCCCGTGTTGCCCTTGTGGATTTATCCCCGTGAAGAGGCGTCTCATTGCGTGGGTGTTCTTGCTGTCGTTGTGGTCTGTGGTGTCCCAGTGCTGGTGGTGGTCCTGGCCAGTCAAGTGGTGGTGGATGCTGGTGAAGCTGTGTGTAGCGCTGTGTCGGTGTCGTGGATCCTGTGCTGGGGACCCTTCGCTGCTGGGGGCCGAGGGGGGACGGCTCTCCCTGTGTCCCACACACCCGAAATCCCGGTAGGCAGTAGGTGAACGTTGTCTTTTCTGGTTATTGCTGTTGGGTTTGGTGGAACGGTTCCCATGTCCTTGGCTTGCTGGCAGCCTGGGAGGCTGTTGCTGAAGCCCAGGGGTTATTTATGGTGGGGTGTACGTGTCCCAGCTCTTGCAGGGGTGACAGAGGCATAAATCCGGCTTTTGGCAGAGCTCATCCTTCGAGGTGAGCTTGTGGGAGACGCTGGAAACGCAGCAGTTCACTGGTGCTATAGAAAATGCACATTTTCTTTGAGTATTTTGGGCAGCCAAATGGGTCAAGAACTGTGCGAGAGAGTCGGGAGAGAAGAGCTTGGGGATCTGCTCCCTGAGTCCCAGCTGAAACTGCGCTGGCTGCTTCTGCCTTCAGGGTGGTATTTTTGAAGGAGGCTTGGGGCTTAAACCAGACCTCAGGGCTATGATGGAAACGGATGAATTTGCCTCTTCAGCAGCCGGGCTGTGAGCGAGTTCTCCCACATTTTAAGGTCTCCACCGCAAGCCGTTCTTCAAAATCTCCTTCTTGAGGTGGGGCAGAGAGCGGGGCTGCACGCAGTCATTAATCAAAAAATCCACTGTCTTGAGAAAGGGAGCTGTGCTTTCCTGTCCTAAATGCCCAGAGTTTCTTTTTTTCCTTAAGACCCCCCCTGTTTTTAATATTAACAGCATGAGGAATTGTAGGGACCGGCAATCAGTAAATAAATGTCCCTGCCTGAAGAGCCTTCAATGTGCTGCACATTTTTAGCCTAAGGCACGCTTCCCGTTTCGCCCAGGAAAGCTGATTTGAAGCAAAAGCCGCTGCGTGAGGGGACCCTGGAGGATGTGCCCCAGCGCCTGCGTCTCAGGGCTGGGCAGAGGCTGGGTCATGCTCAGAGGAGGATGGAAATGCACCCTGCACGATGCCAGCATGCAGTGATGCCAGCTCTGCAATAAATCCCCTGTATCATTACTATCCCTGTTCACACCCAGATTTGGGTTTATGAGCTGGGGCCACGCAGGAGGCCGAGGGAAAGGAGTATTGGGGTCAGATTTGAATCAACTCAGAAAAACGCCGTTAGCAGATGCAAGCAAACACATTTCCTTCCTGTTTTCTTGAGTGCCTGTGTGCAAACCATCACTGTCCCGGGGTGCAACTTGGCCCCCGCTGCCTTCCCCCTTACTTGGCTTCAGCTCTCGCTGGACCGACCCCACGGTTGGGATAGGGACAGGGTTGGTGGGAGCCGGTCCCGAAGCCAACGCGCGCCCGAAGCACATTGTGCCATTTCGAAGGGTTTCGTAGCCAAACCTGTGCTTGCAGACGTCGTGAGCTTTATTGCATGAGAAGGTAGATGTGGTTTCCCTCTCCCCCATGTTGTAATTGTTCTTTTACAATTGAGTGCCTTAATAATAGTTTACAAATACTGTGTATTTATGCTCAGCTGTTAAACTCTGCTGTTTGCTGTTCTGGTTTTGTTAATTTTTTGGTGCTTTTGGTGTTTCCGGCGGCAGTGAGACCGTTCCTACGTCTGCACAGCGACCTCCCAGCCCCGCTGCGCTCGGCGCCGCTCCACCACTTCCCTTCTGCTCCGGCTACGGCGAAACCAAAGGGGCCGCGATGGGATGGGGCCACGTCGAGACGCCGCAGCCCCAGTTTCTCTATGCATTGCTGCAGAAACGCAGCCAGGGGGGTCCAGGAACACGTCCCCTGGGCACATCGAACCCAAACCCAGTCCCGTTCTGCCAGAAAACCCAAAATGCACAAAACTGGCACCTTATTTCTGTCGGTCTGCGGCAGCCGTGATCTTGGTTGTCCTTTGGGGGAGGGCGGTTTTTGACTCGGTCTTGTCCCATCGCCGGGAGGTGGGGACCGTCCTCTTGCCGGAGAGGAGGGCGAGTGAGTAAGGGGGCTGTCCAGTGCATTGCTGTACTCTGATAACAACCTTCCTTTTACTTCATCGTATTTCTTAATTCTGGTTTTATATTTAAATACGCAGTATCTTTTGTACTGTACGTTCGCGGTAGGCGATGCAGAATGCACTTTTTTTTTTTTACTTCTGTTTGTAAAAACGTACTGTATATTTCATGTGCTTCTTGTGGAGAAAAGATAATAAACCTCGTTTTGTTTTGTTTTCCTTTTACAAATGAGTTCCGCAGCGTTTTTGGAGGTGGGGAAGGATTGGCCTGGACGTGGGGGCAGAAAGATAAAGGATGTGATGGGTGTGGATCATTGGAGCAGCAGCCACTGCCTGGCCCTGGGCATCACTTCCCATCTGTGCTCCCATTTTTTTGGGTCCTGTGTGTGCTCCCCTTTTTTTGGGTCCTGGTTGTTTCCTGCTCCCCTGAAGGCTGGGTTGGGGGACGCTGCTGTCCCTCTCGGTTGTGTCCTTGCTGCACTGGATGTGTTTGAGCCGCCCTGCCTGGACGGTGAGCGCTGCACAAATGCACTCAAGCTGCAGCACAGGTTTAAGAACTTGTGGGGCTCTTAAGAGAAAAAGAGAAGAAAATAGAAATGTGCTCAGTGCTAGAGGCAGGAGTAGTGTGGGGATGTGTAATTCTCTGCCTATGGCCTCTTCAGAGCCCCCAGGCTGGCTTTATGGAGGAGCTGCTTATGTTCCCCAGCACCGAGCGGTCTCATGTGGAGGCGACGCCTGCGCCGTGCTGAGCCCTCCCTGCCCGGCACACGGAAAAGCACAGAGTTGGAGAGGGGCTTTGAGATTCCCGCAGCCCCGTGCTGCCATCTGCCACGGAGAGCAAATCCCCGGTGCGAAGCCGAGGAGCTGAGTCCTGGACGTGGCTCCTGCTGCCACCCCGCGATCCGGCCGAGGTGGGACCGGCCCTTCCCCGGCATTCCCCAAATTTTCCCTTTAAAGGCAAACAGCGAGCATCCGTCCCGTGCCTGCAGGAGTCCTGTTACTGCCTGGGATTGTTCTCGCTCTCAAAGCTGCTTCAGGGAGGAATATGTCAGTGTTTACCTTGGCAGAGCAGCAAAGCACGGGCTGGGGATGCTCCCCAGCCTTGGCACTAATTGCCTCAAAGAGTTGTTAACCCCCACCAGAAATATTTGCTTTTTAGGGGTTTCTGGGGGGGGTGACATGGCAGGGGTTACCCCCCAGCCG